TAACCTGCCCAAGGCTACAGAGCAAGTCATTGTCAGAACTAGGGCCAGAACCCAGGGCTCCTGACTCCCAGTCCAAGACTCTTCCCACTACACCAATGTCCCAGATTAAGAGTTGAAAGGAATAGACAAGAGCCACTATTGTTTCTGGACAGTTCAACTTGATTGGGTTTAGAAGGACAAGAGAATGAAAATAAGAATGAAGACATCTCTAACACGAGGGATGTGGCAAGTGAAAGACGAAACGAGGAAAACCAAGGTTGATCTTCTGAGCCTATCAATTTATTAGGCAATGTATGCCAGGGCCACTAGGTGGCACAGTAGATAGAGGACCGGCCCTTGAATCAGGAGGATCTAAAATCAAATGCAGCCTCAGACATAGTGTGTAACCCTGGGCAAGTCATTTAACCCCACTTGCCTCCCCCTCAAAAAAAGGCAATGCATGCCAATTTGTCTAACAAAGCTGGACCTCCTCAGCTTAAGCCTGGACCTCGAATAGTGAATACTGGGGGAGACTGACTTTCATACATTAAAAACAATTAATCAAATAAGACCAATTAATTAAAAGAAAACAATACATTAGGTAATCTGGTTTATAATTAGATGAAAGATTAGGGACTTTCCAAATTGGTAGAGGGAAAGATAACAGGTGTAATTCCCTGAATCAAAAAAGGAAATGTCCCACTCCCCTCAAGTGTCTCTAAACAAAGGAATGCGGAAACAATAACTGACTGACCAGTATGGTGCCAGTTTTCAGATAAGACGATTGGGTTGCTTGAGATATACAATTGTGAGAAAACTCCTTGCATTAATCTTTGGATCTGACTGAGTTTCTGGTCAGCATAACCTAGTTCTTTAGTTAAGGGTCTCTTAAAAAGCAGGTATTGGGGGCAGCTAGGTGGCACAATGGATAGAGCACCAGCCCTGAGGTCAGGAGGACCTGGGTTCAAATCCGACCTCAGACCAAACACTTAACACTTACTAGCTGTGTGACCCTGGGCAAGTCACTTAACCCCAATTGCCTAAAAAAAAGAAAAAGCAGGTATTGGTGGTCCAGTTTCCAGTCATGCAGGGCTAGGTTCAAACAATGCAATAAGGTTTTCTCCCAGTTCCCACAATTGAATTAAGTTTCTCACAAGACAGAATTTGGACTAGACCAATACCTGAATAGAAAAGGAACTGAGCTAGCTCCAGAATTGAGTCACAAGGTGGAATTCAGTGTGGTTCATGCAATCCCCACAACTAACCACTTGCTGTCCTAATCTCCTCAATCCCCTCAGAGAGAGAAGAGTCTGTACCTTATGGGAAAAAGTCACAGGATCATGGAGCAAGAAGGGGCCTTAAGCATCATAAATTCCAATTCTCTCTTTTTTTGGATTTGGAAACTCAGGGGTTAAGTGACTGGCCCAAGGTCACATGGCTAATAAGTGGGAAGGCTGAGATCATATCATTCCAAAGCCAAGTTTCTTTCTGCCACACTACAGCTGCTATCACTAATAGAATCTCTCAGTAAGATTTGCCTTGTAGAGAGAAGCAGCCTCCAGGAAGACCTAGGTTCAAGTCCTGTCTCTACCAAATACTTGTTGTGTGACCCCATCAAGTCACTCAATTTCTCAGTGCTCCAGGCTCTGTAGAGGAATGGCCACTCTACATTAGTAGAGGAAATTCCCAGCACTGGTGCAATCCCCACTAAACAAAGCATATCTTCTAAAGTGTGGGTGCTCCTGGAACCTCTGACCCAAATATGGTTTGTCCTGATCTCACCTCACACAGGGAGTGAAGGACTTGTGGTTATGCCTATAACAGGTGGCCTGAGCATATGTCAACAGCAGGAGAAGGTGACCTTCTCCAAGCCTCAGACAATGAAGAGCCCCCAAGCTGAGCAGGCATGATGTGCCATTGTACTCTGATTCCTGAAAAGCAGAGAGTTTCCTATCTTGGGGGTAAGATTTGTGGTCCCATTCCTGCCTGAGCAAAAATCCACTCATTAAAATCCTCAACACAAGCAGTCAGGCTACTTTGACTCTGGGGAACTGTAGCCTGGACCTGCCAGGGGCCTACGGAACTCCTACTAAGGAGGAGACCCCTGGGCCAGCCCATCACTGGAACCTGCTGCCACCAATGGGCCCGACTATGCCAGATCAAGCTCAAATCAGTTTTTAAATGAAATCTGAGAAAGTAATAAGATTCCTCGCAGAAGCTATCTCAGACAATTCTCATTTCTCCTGTCAAGCAAATGAATTCCTGGTGTCAAGGCCTTGAGACTCTTCCCCAAACATGCAATCATTCACATAAAAGAGAATACTCAGATAAAACCCAGCACAGGGCTTCCCAAAGGAAAACCAGTCTGTCCCCCAAATAATTTTGAAAGACTTAAAAATTCTGAGACTCAAGGTGAAACATGTTACCTACTTCTTCATAGTGAGATGATAGAGTCAGGTTACAGATTAAGACATATTTCTTGGACATGGCCAATGTGGGGATTTGTTTTTGTTTGACTGTACAGATTTGTTATGAGGGTTTTGGGAGAGAAGGAAGGAAGGAAGGAAGGAAGGAAGGAAGGAAGGAAGGAAGGAAGGAAGGAAGGAAGGAAGGAAGGAAGGAAGGAAGGAAGGAAGGAAAGGAGAAAGGAAGGAAGGAAGGGAGGAAGGGAGGGAGGGAGGAAGGGAGGAAGGGAGGGAGGGAGGAAGGAAGGAAGGAAGGAAAGGAGGAAGGCAGGAAAGGAGGAAGGAAGGAAGGAAGGGATGAAGGAAGGGAGGAAGGGAGGAAGGAAAGGAGGAAGGAAGGGAGGAAGGGAGGGAGGGAGGAAGGCAGGAAAGGAGGAAGGAAGGAGGAAGGAGGAAGGAAGGAAGGAAGGAAAGGAGGAAGGAAGGGATGAAGGAAGGAAGGAAGGGAGGGAGGGAGGGAGGGAAGGAGGGAGGGAAGAAGGGAGAAAGGAAAGAAAGAAGGAAGGAAGAAAGAAAGAAAGAAAGAAAACCAGTCCATCTCCTGGGATCCAGTTCTATGGCCAACATGGGGCTAAATTGCACACCTATTGCTCCTCAGCATTTCTCCTCAAATACTTAGCCATGCACGCATGACTCCTGGATTTCCAGTCTCCTAGCCTATAAGACCTGCAGCAATGTAGCCCTGAATCTTTGTAGCCTTGCAGCCCTTGAGCCTCCCATCAGCCTCAAAGTCTGGAAGGCTGAGCACATGTCATGGGATGTGAGAATAAAGAAATCACATCTTCCTACCCATTTCCTCTACTCCAACTATCAAGGGAAGCCATTGAGGACTGTGTGAGCCTTCCCTGTGGAGGGTAGGAGACAGAGTGGCAGGAGGAAAGAACAGGTGTAATTACATGGGAGGGACTTGTGAGTCCCAAGGTCCAAATGGTTGGGAGAGCAAGGTGCTGCCAAGGCTGGGCTCATTTCCCAGAAGTGAGGGGTTGACTGAAGTTTTAAGCACAAGGGGAAAAATTCATTCTGAGGTCCTTTTGGTCACTGCATAAGAGCTAATAGACCCTGAGACCCCAGACCAGACAGAGGAGCTCCAGTAGCACCATCTGCTGGGAACTGAGGAGAGATACAGATAGAGTGATAAAGCTGATGTGACAAGGCCTGAGAGACTACGATAGTCTCCATAGATAGCACATCCTGAAGAGACAGAAGCAATGAGATCTCTACCAATGGTATGCTGTAAGGGGCTGGGGTTATAAGGACCTCTGGGAAGGGCTGTTTACTAGAGGGTATCATTTTCTCTGTGGCTACTTTTTGTTTCCATTGATCTATATATAAACTTGTTCATTCTTTGAACCTTGTAAACAAGGTGTTTGCAAGGGGAATCAATAATTGTGGTGAGCAGAAGCAGACAAAAAATTCTCAGATAATGAGAGTTGGGACAATGAACCAAAAAGGTGAGAAACCCCTCAAAGGATAAGCACAAGCTTCCTTAGGAACTAGAGTACAGGCTTTTCTTGTTCGTCCATGGACCATGAATATCACTTTTTTCATTAATCTTTGACATGGGAGACAGTCACTGCATCAAGGAATCTGAAGCAAACCTCTGATACAATTATCCAGGAAGAGAGAACTACAGAATGAAAGGTACTGACTGTGGGAGAAAGGCAGGCATGGCAGGTCAGAGTCAAAATGGTGGAGTGAGAAGTCAGCAACTTCACTTCAGCTCTCCCAAAACCTCTTCTACGATTACATTAAAAACACACCAAACCAAATTCTGAGAAGGAAAGTCAAGAAAAAGTCATAATGAGTTATTTTTCCAGCACAGGGCAACTTAGGAAGACAGAAAGAGAGGTCTGCAGACACTGGTGTGAGGGTTGGCCAGGAGTGCAGCAGCAGAAGCAGCATCAGGTTGTGGGGGGTGGCAGCAGTGACAGAGAGCAGCCCAGCATCCACAGACAGTAAAGGAAATGAAAACCTGGGCAGAAAGACATCCCAGGAGACCTTTGTACTACCATGAGGAACAGGAAAAGGTACTATCTGGCAGCTCTGTTGTCCATTATCTAGTTCATTACTCAGTTCTAGCAGATAGTTTGAGGATAAAGAGGGGTGGTCACAGTCACAAGAGAGCAGGAACCCTACCTGTGTAAGGAACAGAGCACAGGACAGAAAGGCAGTGACCAGACCTCTCTCCAAAGTGTGCTACTTTGGAAGCACCAAAAATGTGCAAGCTCCCATATTAAGTTATGAAAGCAGCAGAACATAAAAGATAAGCTTAGACCAGTAGTCCTCCAGAGGTGAGCAGAGCCCAACTTTAATATAAAGTCCAAAGTCAAGAAATAGGCTAGAAAAAATGAACAAACAACAAAGAAAGAACCCAACTATGGTACTATGTTACTATGTTACTATGGTAACAAGGAAGTCTTAAGACAGAAACACAGGAGAAGACAATGCTTTGAAAACATCTACAAGCAAAGCCTCAAAGAAAAATTCAGATTGAACACAAGCCCAACAAGAATTCTTAAAAGAGCTTTAAAAAGTTTTTTTAAAGAACAAAAAAAAGCGCTTGCTTCTGCAGCACATATACTAAAATTGGAATGATACAGAGAAGATTAGCATGGCCCCTACACAAGGATACACAAATTCATGAAGTATTCCATATTTTTTTACATTTTTTGATGTATTGATCAGTTTTGCTGATTTTTTTTTCCTTTTCCAATTTTCCTCCCTCCATAACAAATATTATTTATTATATGAAATGACTCGCTGAGGGCATGGAAGAACACTGGGAGAAATTTTGGTGATGGGGGAGGGGAAGAAATAAAATATGCTTTAAAGAAGGCTAAAAAAAATAGAACAAAAAAAAGATTTAAAACCCAAATAAGAGAAGGAGGGGAAAATTAGAGTTTTGCAAGAAAATTGTGAAAAGATAGTTGATAATACACAAGAAAATTAGAAGAACATGGAACATATTATCTATCAAACTTAAGGACAGGAGAACAATTTATGAAGAAATAAGAGATAGAGAACATTAGATGTTGTTCTCCATTAAAATGGATAATTTTGATTATATAAAATTCAAAAGGTTTTCTACAAATAAAACCAATGTAGCCAAGATCAGAAGGAAAGCAGAAAAACGGAGGAAAAAAAACTATAGACAGTCTCTCAGATAAAGGTCTTATCTCTCGCATATAAAAAGAATTTTGTCGAATTTATAGTATATGAGTCATTCCCCAATTGATAAATAGTCAAAGGATATAAACAAACAGTTTTTTGATGAAGAAATCAAAACTATATGTAGTCACATAAAAATGCTCTAAATCATTAATGATTCAGAGAAAAGCAAAATTAAAACAACTTTGAGATATCATCTTACACCTATGAAATTGGCTAAAATGATAGATGCCCTTCAGTTAGGAAATGGCTAAACTAGTTGTGGTATATGATTGTGATGGAATACTACTGTGCTATAAGAAATAATGAGCTTACTGATTTTAGAAAAACATAGAAAAACTTGTATGAAATAATGAAAAGTGAAATGAAAAGTACCAAGAGCATGTTGGTACATAGTAACAGAAATATTGTCCTTAAAACAACTTTGAATTACTAATTCATCTTGAGTATCATAAATATTCAAATCAACTACAATGGGCCTATGAAGGAAAATGCTATCTACCTTCAGAGAAAGAACTAGTAAATAGAAGTATGTATAGTATCATGTTACAAATATGTGATACGTGTGTGTGCATGCATATTTATATATATATATATATATACACACATATATATGTGTTTAATTGTAACCTTCTTTAGGGTAGGAGGGAGAAAAAAATTGAAAGTACACAATAGAGAACAAGAAATACTCAGAAGAAAGTACAGAAAAGCAGGGCAGTTTTGAAAAAAATATGTAGTATTTATTACACAGTTTTTCCAAAAAGAGTAAACACTATGAAATGGAAATCCATGGTTTTATATCAAATATTTTCTTTATACTGTGCCATGGAAATGGAAATGTTCTTTTTTTCTCTTTTTATTTTATTAAGTTCAAAATTAATTTTAAAAATTATAAAAAAAGAGAGTTAATAATTTGATTTTAAAAAAGGCACAAAAATTACTGAATAAAATAACTTCTTAAAAATCAGAATTGGCCAAATGGTAAAAGAGGCACCAAAAAGAAATACTGAAAAAAATAGCTTCTTAAAAAGTAAAATTGTTCAAATGGAAGCTAATGACTCCATGAGACATCAAGAAACAATAAAACAAAGTCAAAAGTTTTTAAAAAAATAGAAAAAAGTGTGCAATATGTTATAGGAAAAACAATCCCAAGGAGAGATAATTTTAAAATTATTGGACTACTTGAAAGCCATCAACAACAACAACAACAACAAAAAGCCAAGAAATCCTGTTTCAAGAAACTATAAAGGAAAAGTGCCCACATATCTTGGAACTAGAGAGCAAAATCCACCAGTCACCTTGTGAAAGAAATCCCCAAATACAAACCCCTAGAAATATTATTGCCAAAATCCAGAGCTCCCAGGTCAGGGAGAAAATACTATAAACAGGCAGAAAGAAATAATTCAAATACCATGGAGCCACAGTCCAGATGAGGTAAGATTTAGCAGCTACCACTATATGGGAGTGAAGGCCTTAGAATGTGATTTTCCAGAAGGCAAAGGAGTTAGGATTACTGAGAATAACCTACCCAACAAAACTGAGTATAATCCTGCTGAGGGAAAGATGGTTATTTAATGAAAAAGAGTACTTTCAGGCATTCCCGATTAGAAGACCAGAGCTGAAAAGAAAATTTGACATTAAAACACAAGACTCAAGAGAAGCATAAAAAGGCAAACATAAGACAAATTATAATGGATTAAACAAGTTAAATTATTTACATTACTATATGGGATGATACATGTAACCCCTAAGAATTTTATCATCACCAGGGCTCTTAGAAGGGCTCTTAGACAGAGGGTATGGGTGTAAGTATATTATGTTGGAATTATCTCAAAAGAAGGCTGGAAGAGCGAGAAAGAGGAATGCACTGGAGAAAGCGGAAGGGAAGGGGAGAATATGGGCAATCACCTCACATAAATGAGGAGCACAAAGAAAAGTTTATATAATGGAAAGGAGAATGGGGGGCTGGGGAGTGAGCAATGCTTTAACCTCACTCTCATCTGAGTAGTTCAAGGAAGGAAGAATTTTCATATACATACATTTGGGTACAGAAGTTCAGCATACCCAAGAGGCAAGTAGAAGGGAAAGGGAGTAAGGAAGGAGATGGACCAGGGTTGAAGAATAAGAAAGAAGATGAATAAAGGGAGACAGTGGTCAAAAACAAAACAGATTGAGGATGAGACAGGATGAAAAATAGAAGGATAAGTATAAGTGAATAGGATTGAGGGAAATACATAGTTAGCAATCATAACTGTGAATGTGAATGGAATGAATTCACCCATAAAATGGAAGAGGCTAGAAGAATGGATTAGAATCCAACAACATGTTGTTTGTAAGAAACACACTTGAAACAGAAAGATACACACCAAGTTAAAATCAGCAGCTAGAGCAAAATCTATTATGCTTCAGCAGAAGAAAAAAAGGCAAGGGGAGCAATCACGATCTCAGACAAAGCAAAAGCAAAAATAGGCCTAATTAATAGAAATAATCAGAAAAGCTTCATTTTGCTAAAAATCATTGTAGATGATTAATTAATATCAATACTGCATATATATGCACCAAATGTCCTAGCATCCAAATTTGTGAAGGGAAAGTTAAGAAAGTAAAACTATAAAAGTGGAAGACCTCAATTTACCCCTCTTAGACCTAGATAATCATAAAATAAACAAGGAATGAATTTAAGGAGATGAATAGAATTTTAGAATTTAGATACGATAAGCCTTCGGAAAATATTGAATGGGTATAAAGGAGCATACCTATTTCCAAACTGTGCATGGCACATCTACAAAAAAATTGACCATGTCCTAAGGCACAAAAACCTCACAAATAAATGAAGAAAAGAATATTAAATGTACCTTTCTCCTAATGCAATAAAAATTACATTCAATAGAAGGACTTTGAAACATAGAGTTAAAATTAATTGGAAAATAACTTAATCCTAGAGAATGGGTGGGTCATAGAAATAATCAAAAATTTCATTAAAGATAATGACAGCAATGAAACAGCATACTGAAATTTGCAGGATGCAGACAAAGTAATAGTTCAGGGGAAATTTTTATATCTAATTGTTTGCATTAATAAAACAGAGAAAGAGCAAACCAATGAATTGGCCATGCAACTAAAAAAAACTAGAAAACCAACAATTTAAAACTCCCAAGAAAACACCAAAATAGAAATCCGGAAAATCAAACGAGAGATCAATAAAGTTGGAAGGAAAAAAATTGAACTAATAAATAAAATTAGGATATGGTTTTAGGGAGAAAAAAATTTAAAAATGGATAAACTATTGGCTTATTTAATTTTTTTTTAAAAAAAAGAAAGAAAACCAAGTTACTAGTATCAAAAATGAAAAAGATGAATGCACAACAAATGAAGATAAAATAAATGTAATTATTAGGAATTACTTTACCCAACTATATATCAATAAAACTGATAACCTAAATGAGATGGATAAATATGTTATATATGTATATGTATATATATATGTATATATGTGTGTATATATATATATATATGTATTACCCAGATTAACAGAAGGAGAAATAGAATATTTAAATAACCCTACCTTAGAAAAAAATTGAATAATCCATAAATGAGTTCCCTAAGAAAAATGCCTTGGTTCAGATAGATTTAAAAGCAAATTCTAGCGAGCATTTAAAGAACAATTAATTCCAATACTGTATAAACTGTCTGAAAAATAGGTAAAGGAGTCCTACAAAATTCCTTCTATGAACACAAATATGGTTTTGATACCTAAAGCAGAGAAAGCAAAAGTAGAGAAAGAAAACTATAGACCAATTTTCCTAATGAATATTGATGCAAAAAAAAGTAAATAAAATACCGGCAAGGAAATTATAACAATATATCACAGAGATCCTACACTATGACCAGGTGGGATTTATACCAGAAATGCAGAACTGGTTCAATATTAGGAAAATTATAATCATAATTGACCATATTGATAACAAAAACAACAAAAATCATGATTATTTCAACAGACGCAGAAAAAGCTTTGGACCAAACCCAACACTCATTCCTACTAATGGGTGAGGCGGCCAGAGCAAAGATGGCAGAAAAAAGGCAGGGACTCTCCCGAGCTCTCCCAAATTCCCCTTCAAACAACTTTAAAATAAAGCCTCAAAATGAATCTGGAGTAGCATAATCCACAAAAGGATAAGGTGAATCAGTTTTCCAGCCAAGACAACCTAAATGTTGGCAGAAAAGATCTGTCACACCGGGTTGGGAGTGGAGCGCAGTTCAGTGTAAGTTACACAGCAGCAGGCCTTGGGGGCAACTTTATGTGCAGGAGCGGCTTCCAAAGCTCTCAGCCCACAGACAGTAAAGGGGTTGGACAACTGGACAGAAGGAAATTACAGGGGTCCCTTGGTGAGCGTTGTGTACAGGACTCTGTTGCATTGCCCATACATAGACATAAACCACAGTCCCAGGGAAAAGAGGAGCGCTAGCACACCAGAGCTTGTGGCCTCAAGGG